GTTGTTAAAGCTTCACTTGCAAGTAAATCTCAACTTAAGATTTTGATAATAAGTTACTTTTTACTCGATGCTCCACCTAATGCATTCAACATGAATTGTTATTCATTTTGTAGTAGTATTCATGGGGTGGATAGTGTTTGCTATAGAGGGAATGTTGTTTTCTTTGGCTATCTCATCAAAAGGTTGCTTTTAAGCTCTATCAACACGTTGATTATTTTGTTTATATTCAAAGGTAGATAACTTTGGAGCTTTAAGTATGAATATTAATCAGGTCTACAAGCTTTGTAAAGACTTATTTCCATCCTGTTACATCAACAATCCTGAACTTGTGCTCTCCTAGCATAGGCCTCCTACATTAACACTAAAATATCTTTTAGAATTTTAATGATTGATTAGATTTATCTTTGGTCTTTTTTATATGGTGTGAAACAAGCGAAAGTCTTTAAAAAATATTTTTCATCTTTGCCCAGCATGAATTTGAGAGACAGAACTCAAGTTTATTGCCAAGTTGTAAGGGTAGAAATTTAAAGATCATTTACTTTTAGAGGCCAAATCCCTGTTCCTCAAAAGGAAAAAGGGTCAAGGTTGCAATTTATTTTTGTTTCGGACTAATGGTATTTTAGGAGTGTTGTATTATTTTTTTTTTTTTACTTGTTAACGCCGTTATTGCCTTCTTGGACAGCGCGGTAACTATGGGGTTGAGCTGTAAGGTTAGTCGCTAGATTTTTTCTTAATTTCATAGATATTTGCTGCCGCCACCAAACAAGTCCTAAGAAAATATCTGCAAAAAAGAAAAGAATCCAAAGCCCGTTTTTTATTTTTTTATTACGCTTCATGGGGATGTGAAACTCAATTATACGTGATATTTACCTTTTTTTTTTCTTGGACACGATTAAGCTGTGAGACATTCATATTAAAAATACAATAAGTTCTTACATAAGGACATATTCTATTTGTCCAAGTATTTTCTTAAGTTGATGCAGGAAAGTTTTACAATTCCTAGAAAAAAAAAATCAAAATAAAATATTTTTAGCATTTTTTTCTTTTTAGGCGAAGAAGAAGGAGCTTAAGAGTTATTTCCATTACTCTCATATTGGACATTGTGTATAATTGGACTTCCATATTGAGAACATCAATATAAATTAAAGTTTAAATTAAATAAAAGTACAATGATACACACTAATTTTTTTTTGTGTCTGTTTGGGGCAGCTTGTGAGTTTCAGGATAAATTGTTTATCCTGAAACGTAGCCCACGGGTCTGCAGCAGGGGTCGATCCGTGGCCTGCGTTTAGTGTAAAAATCTAAACGCAGTTTCGGATAAGCTGATGAAACACGCGAATCAAATAGTATGACGGAGTTTTAAAAATGCTGGCAGCACTTATAAATTGCCCCAAACAGACCCTAAGTTCAGATTCTAACTGGATCTGTACTTACCAAAATCAATCAGATCGCTTGAAAACTAAAGACAGATTGATTGATAGTATAAAAACATGACAGCACATTTTGTTTCACGCTATGACATAGCATAAAAGATAATAAAAAAAAAAGACAAACGAAAACAAAAAACGGGCATGACATGTAGCCAGCAGCAGATCCCCTAAATCCACCGCCGTGATCCTACTCTCGAATCTATTCCTTCCTCTTAAGAAACATCTTGCGCAGCTCAGCTGGATCTATCTCTCTGAGACTTTTCGCCGGCCTGTAATAGCCCGTCACAGGATCGGGAACCCAAGCAGCATCTGAGGTCGCCGCTACTGATTTTTTAATTCCACTCATCAATACTGCCTTCTCCTCCATCAAACCCCTTCCGGATGACGCAGCCGCCCCCGCCGCCGACGATGAAAATCGTCTGCTGGTCAAGACAAGTCCATCACTTCCGTTCGAGAGAGCGGCAAAGAGGATCTTTCCGTTCGAGATAGCACGAGCCATCGGATGAAGAAAGATCAACGAGAGTTAGCTTCGGTCGGCAGCAACAAATAAACAGAATGAGAAGAAAAGGAGGAGAGATTCGTCTTCTCTTCTCCTCTTCTTCTCCCAGAAGCAAAATAATACTAATGAATGCCTCGCCCGAGCTTTCTGTGTGACCAAAGGCAGAGGGGTAGAGCTCCATTAAATAGACCAATATCGAAGAAGGAGCATAGAAGGTGTACAGAAAATAAAGAGGATGCGTCCAAACCGAAGTAATTACCTTTAAACAATGCTGTTACCGCTTGGAAAGCGGCAAGCGGTTTGTTGACTCGTAAGCAAACGTGTGCTGCCGTCCCGAGTGCGGGGTGGGCCCAGGTCGGTCCCC